GTACGCGAGCGAGGATATTCAATTAGTATTAACTGGTAGACCAGTAAATCTCTTCATTTTATGCTTGAAGTTTAATCCCATTTATTGGATTTTGACAATCACAGAGATATTTGTCTAACCAGCTCTGTACTTTGTATCTGAATTGGACAGAAAATGCATGATAGTTTTATCCTATGAAAGGCTGCATGTTATTTCAATTTCTCACGCTCGAACTCAAAGTAACAACAACAACTGGGGTGCTCTTGGACCAAAAAGAAAAAAGGCTGCATGTATTTGTATTGTGGTGGTTAAGATTCAAAGACATCTCTCATGGAGATGTTCAATTTATGCCAAATTTGGGGGCTCTTTGACATCACTAATTGCTAATCGATACAGGGATGCCGAACATGCCGTTCCTCTATGCCATGGACTTCATCAATGTATTAAAGAAAAAACATGTAGCCAAGGGCTACCAAGAGATGGTATTTGTTTCATTTTTGAAATTAGCTTTTTACTTTCCCATCATTTTTGCTTTTAATTATCCGATGAGGCTATCACTGGCATACGCAGGTTATATACGTGGAAGCATGCGAGAGTGGGAGTGTCTTTGAAGGGATAATGCCTAAAGATTTAGATATCTATGTGACGACGGCATCAAACGCACAGGAGAGCAGCTTCGGATTTTACTGTCCTGGGATGGAACCTTCGCCGCCTCCAGAGTACATCACTTGCTTAGGTGACTTATATAGTGTTGCATGGATGGAAGACAGGTAAGTCTGGTTTTCTGGACTGTAGTCTTTTCCTAAAATAACTGCCACACCGATTAGAAAAGGACATTAGTATATACAATCTCTAATTGTTCGATGTAAAGCCTTGTACATTTGGACTTTTGGACTCTGTATGTTAACCAATAGAAGTGAATTGCCAGTTACGGAATCATATGTTGTCCTGATGTTGATTAATGATCTAACTCTATGCAACCTTGTACAGTGAGACTCACAATCTCAAGAAAGAAACCATAAAGCAACAATATCATGTGGTAAAGTTGATGCTCTGAGCATTCGAAATGGCTTTAAACCCTGTGACTGAGGTTGATTGCTGACAGATCGATGATCGTGATGGTGCAGGTAAAGCAGCGGACATCCAATTTCAACACGTATAATGCCGGTTCACATGTGATGGAGTATGGGAACCAAAGCATTAAGGACGAGAGGCTTTACTTGTATCAAGGCTTCGATCCTGCAATGGTGAACTTCCCTCCGAACAGAGTCCCTCCCGAATACATGGGCGTCATTAATCAAAGAGATGCGGATCTTCACTTCCTCTGGCAGATGGTGAGCTTAAGCTACATCTTTTACTCTGATAATAAACCTTAACCGTCCATCCATTCTTTCGGACATTCTCTAAATAGAAGACGGGTCTTTTCTAACTCATCTTCTGTTGTCTCCTCAAGTCAATGGACTGTACAAATATACTTATTCTATACTTGCATCGGGATGTTGTGCTAATGAAAAATTGGCGCTACTAATTTTAATGCACCAGCAGAATTCAGATGTACAATGAGGCATTGGATTTCACTTTGGAATGTTATTGTGCAAATTTGAACGAGCCTGTTGCAGTTTCTCTTCTTCAAGCCTTAACTAGACATAATGCTCTGCAGGTTAAGAAAACAGAAGACAATTCAGAGAAGAGGAAGGAGATCCTAGGGCAAATATCTAGCACTATGAGGCACAGAATTCATCTTGATGGAAGCATCGAGATGATCGGTGCGCTTCTTTTTGGACCTGAGAAGGGCTCGTCCGTCCTAACTGCTGTGAGAGAGCTCGGTCTGCCTCTCGTCGATGACTGGAAATGCCTCAAATCTATGGTTACTCTAAATCTTTTACTGATATCATTCTCTTCCCTGTTTTCACTTGGGAACCGGTAAAGACTTCAAGCTGATGCCTTAAACTTTGGAACTTTCAAACTTGTTGTAGGTTCGAGTCTTTGAGACGCATTGCGGGTCGCTGACGCAGTACGGGATGAAGCACATGAGGGCGTTCGCCAACATCTGCAACGGCAGAGTGACCCGAGAATCAATGGAGGAAGCTTGTGCAAGTGCATGTGGTGGCCATGGTGGTCTCTGGCATCCTTCAAATCTTGGTTACAGTGCATGAACGAGTTAAGTCTCAGCAGAATAAGGGAAACTTGTATATATATAGTTCAGAAACATAAGAGAGTCCATTTCAGTGGTCCCTCTGTTAACTACATCTTTATGCAATTGCAATGATCTCAATATCTTATGTCGCATATTGGTTTACATAGGATCAGGCGAAGCCATGCATCCCACAAACTCTGTTTTGTATTTGTTAATCTGTCGTCTCCTTGCCTCATATACACAATATACACAAGCAATCTGATCGATAATAATGGAAGCAGCCGAACCTGTCAAAATGGATAATAAACCTATTTTTTAACTCATATATTAATAAATAGGTTGAGTTAGTTATATTTAGTAAATGGGTCATAAATGGGTATAGGTATACTATGGGTGTTAAATGGGTCGTAAATGGGTTATAAATGAATTTATAACTTATTTAATCTCAATTCATTTCTTTTGTCCTCATTCAATCTCACGCTCACTCCGCGCACTCTCGTATCAGTTTAGGTATAAGTTTTTGTAGATTTAGTTAAATATTTAAGTGTTTTAGCAATATGGATCAGGCTGGATATAGGTTGGACATAAATCAAGTCGGGTATAAGTCAAGAAAATTACATTGCGTATAAATGGGTCATAAACGAATCAATGGATCAATTTAGATTGAACTATTTGTGATTCGACCCAAACTCGATTCGATCGATAGATCTATAGCCGAAGCAGCTTCCTGATGCATGACACGGAGATTACGTCTTCTTTCACTAGATTAGTATAATATGCTGTTTTAGCTGAGAATAACCTAGTTGAAAAGGTCATCTGCGTTGATTTATCAGGAGAGGTTTGAAAGTTTTCAGGAGCAGATTCATTGGATGTGTCCAAAGTTAGTGATGTCGATCGAGTTGTCCCATGTTGCAGAAGAAGTCCCAGGAGCTCGAGAACTACTGGTTCGACCGAGAGGCCGAATCAGACATGCAGGTCATGTCATGGAAGCTCTGCGCGGATGGGGATCAAGTCAAATCACACTAATGATGAACAAGAAAGAAAAACGTGAGATCTATCATTTCACTAAAGAAAAGACGAACTTCACATATTTTCAAGGTTGGAATTGATCCTTCCCACATGGTACGACCAAGGTGAGAGTATCAGACTATCTACAATCTAAATGGATTTATTTTGGATCAAATTTTAATTTATTCAATATGTTATCAAAATTTTAACTCAATATATAATATCGTCTTTAAATTTTAATTTATTCAATATGATCATGAATTTTTGATACATGATCAATTTTATCCGTACACCATTTTAAAATGTTCAATAGTGTCCTTAAATTAAAATTAATGAAAGGATAATATTAAGCATTTTCAAATAGTTTTTTTTGTTCGGGATATTTTCAAATAGTTCAAGCATTGAGCAAATTAAAAGTTCAGGAATGACATTGCACATTGGACTAAAGTTAGGGACCATATTGAACAAATGAAAAATTCAAGGACCACATTATACATTAAGTCAAAGTTCATAGATTATTTGTGTCATCATCCCTTCTTCCCTCTACGCATTCTACTTTACTAAAACAATTTTCGGCTTATGATATAGCAATGCTCTTCTTCCAATAGCACCATATTGGGGTGGCGGGTTCGCTCGAAATGACGGGCAGTTATTGTTCAGACAATATATCATGTCGGCATTGTGGGACTCATATGTGGCATCCGGGATGATTCGTCGACTTCCGATCATCTCTTCTCACCCTTTAATCCATTATTTAAACAAAAAAGAGCAAGCGCACTAAAAACCAGGCTACTAAAAGTAATCTGTACATGTTCAAAGCCTCTAGCTCAGCTTTCAAACACGTAGGACCTATTCAAGATTTCATATAATCTCCGTCGCATCACTTAATCAGTCCATAAAAATTAATCAGTCTGCCAATAAGAAGATGATTTGAGCAGAGAGAGGGAGAGAGATGTTGCGACTTGCCCTTTAATCAATTCATTTTTTTTTTTGTTTATTCGCTGTGGTAGGTAATTTCTCCATCTTTATCGTACACGTCAAACACAGAGCAACCAACCAACCCGATGTCCCTTGGTGACGTGGACACCGTACACTGAACAGCCCGCGTAAGGACAAGTTAGAGCCGTGTCGGATCCGCACTCCTCGAACCTGAGCTGGGCCCACCGAGCTTGACTCCGGCCATTGGTGGGCCCAAAGTCCGCTCCCGTTTTCGGCCCACAGAAAGGTTCACGCTCTCTCTAACTAAGTTACTATTGGACAACGGCAGCTCGAAAAAAGTATAAAAGGAAACAAAGGATAAAAGGTGAAAAGAGGCTTTTCTTGTTTTTTGGTCGGAAAGAAAAGAGGTTGAAAAGAAAAAAAAAATTTATAGTAGTCGCGCTTTATTATTAGATTATGTGGTATGTGATTATCGGTATTGTGCCTTATCTTGTGCCGACCTATCTTGCTATATCTCCACTGTTACGAAGGAGGCTGTGATTTTACTAAAACACGCAAATCATATTAACGAGGTTAATAATTTTTATTTCTTCTTTTTTTAGTATTGTTTCCACTGAAAATCACATAGATGAAATTAATATATACATGATAGCTCAAGTTGACAACATTGACACGTTACGCCCACTTAGTAATTAGTTTTGGGAAATCACATTACATTGCAACATAAGCTCTATGCCTACATTTTATCTCTGATTAATGTGTGATGTTGCTGGTGTAAAAGTTTTCTTACACGATTGATATTGGACGAATGAAATATGTGTAGAGCCGGTTTTATAACTGCACCGCATTTTCCGGCATTGCAGCCATCGTAGTGTGAATGAGTACATTATTTTGTACATCGATAATAAATTTGAGAAAAATCTTTTAACCTTTGCAATTTTGTTTTATCCTTGTGGAGAGAGTAATCTCTAATCTTTGCAATGCAATCTACACAATTCACTTAGCCACCATACAAAAGAAAAAGAACCTACAACAGCCAAAGAAAAAAAAAGGAAATACAGAGAAAAATCTTGAGTAAAAAAAAAATAAAAACGCTACAAAGAAAATCAAGTGACCGCTAATTTGGATCAAAATTTGGGCCGCGAAATTCTCGCCGACCACCCAATCCCGATCCCAGAAGGGTCCCCGCCCCGCCCCCGCCCTACAATGCAAGCGAGAAAGCCTCAGCTCCGCCGCCCCCACGCCGCCCGCCGCCGGGGACCGCCGTCCACCGCGGCGATCCTGGTCTGGACCCTCTCGAACTCGGAGATCCCGCAGGGGAGCGTGATCCCCCCCGGGTGGTCGTACCCGTACACCCGCTCCGCCTCCCGCAGCAGGTCCCCGAACAGCGGGTGGTTGAAGTACATGACGGGCACCGTCACCCGCCGCGCGTCGCCCCCGGACCGCCCCACCACGTACACCGCCAGGTGCCCCGTCGGAACGTCCGGCGACGGCCCCTTCTCCCCCGGGTCGTGCCCCACCCGGACGTACCCGCGGCGGCGGGGCTTGAGGCGGCGCAGCCTCTGCCTGGCCAGATCGAGGATCTTGCAAATGGGGTTGCGAGGTGGAGACCCCAACCGGCGGTACGCCGGGAATCCGGGCAGCCGGATCTGCCGGAAGAGCCGCGCGAGCTTGGTCCGGAGCCTCAACCCCCGGCCTCTCCGCCTCCACCTCCTCAAGCTGGTGGCGAAATCAAGGTGGTTCATCCTAGAAAATCTCGAATTCTCACGTGTTTTTCCGATCGTGGGTGTCGAGGGAATCGCCGGAGACCAGCACGAGATGAAGCTAACAGCAGTGGGTTTGCATGCGGCGTTGTGGCGTGTGAGCTTGAATCTTTATGGTGGTCAAAAGCACTTCTCGGAGAGAGAGAGAGAGAGAGATGGTCGGCACGCGGAAAGGTGGGGGTGGTGGTGGTGTACTGAAGGGGGAGTGTGAGGGGACGAAAGTGAAAATTTGGGGCATGAGGAAAATGGAGGAGGCGTGACGATTTTATAATTATCACACGCCAGTGGGAAAAAGATGCAAAAAAATGAAAAAAAATAAGAAAACGGAAAGGAAATGAAAGCAAAAGAAAAAGGAAAGAAAAGGGCAAAAAGAAGGAAAGGCTCATCCGACTTTAAAAAAATAATGACATAAGTAATCTCTAAATTTTGACACAATCCGTAAATTTTAACTCAATATTTAATGTGATTTCTGAATTTGTAATTTATTTAATATGGTCCTTGAACTTTTGGTGCATATTCAATATAGTCCCCGAGTTATATAAAAAATATTGAATCATATTAAATATTGAAAATGTTATAGACTGTTTACGTCGTTATCCTAACTTTAAAACAGATGGGAAATGTGAAAGGAATTAAGCTAGAGAGGGAGAGGGAGTAAATCTCGGCTGGTTGGGTGTTTTCAGGGGAAGAGATCAAGTTAAGATTAGGGTAATTTAATTAGGGTTTTGGGGGGAGTCGGGGTGAGCGAAGTTGAAACGCAAACGGGGGCGATTAATAGTCAAATCAGCCAAATTAAAGATGTCCGATCTTATCCCTCTTATGTCAGTTGCTCATCGAGGGTGAGATGATGTTTTTGCTCGCACCACAACAATCACTAAGCATCCAACTCCGGGATTAACGTTTTCCATAACCTGCCCAAAGATTCAATTAATTGAGTCGGTTTCGTTTGAAGCCTTCTAGTTGGTCAAAGTTACCGGGTTTTTATCTTTATTCACGTTTGAAATCATCGACGGGAGGCCCAGTCTTAATCACTTGCCCTAAGATTCGAGTCATATTGGATATGGGGGGCGACTGTGTCAGTTGTAAAGTAGCAAATAAAAAACCCTAATGACCCCAAGACATTGATTGCGTGATTACAAAAAAAGGATAAGATTTGGTTTATAGGAAAGAACGAAGTTCCGGAAGCAACGGGGATATAAATTTTTTTTTACGGACCGCGAATGACATGGTGATCCGTCTTTGACTGTACCAAGAAGACAGATTTAATACAATATTGGCAAAACTGACTCGTGACACCACCCGATCACTTCATAAAAGGAAAATTACGACTCCTTTGAATTTCGCCTTTTTCAGCCGCATCCATATCGATTTTCTGTTACTCCGTAAAACTTTTACGAGGATGGATGGATGTATCGATCCTTCTTTCTTTTCTTTAAATCCAATGGGTAAAAGGAAGATCGACTCTTTCTGGGCAAAGTTGAGCGGGGCGTGGTTGCTTGTCGCTATTGATCCCAACGCATTAGTCCTCACGGATTATGATGAAAATGCAGACCAACAACACCATTAGCTTCGATGAGATCTAACATAGGACCACTATAATCGAAAAACACGTACGAACTTCGGAATCTTGGCAAAGCCAAAGAGGCCTACACAAAATAATAATAAAAAAAATCGGTCGTACACTGATTCATGTGGGGATCTTCAATCAACCACACACGTGTCCCTCTGCGTTTTGAAATTTTGTTTATTCTCTATTTCGATTGGTTTTCTTATTGGGACTGTAGGGCTACAGCCAAGACATCCTCAGATTTCTCATCAGAACTTGCCAAATTGATGTATGATCCCTTGTCTTTCTATAAGAGAACACGAAGGGGGTTGGATAAATTCTTGGTATTCGGTTAAGACTGAAGCCTCATCAAAGAGAGGGAGAAGAAGCTCTTACGAGGGTCTTCGCGGTTTGTCCGTTTAATATACCGGGACTCTATGGATGCGTTTTTTATTTTAACGTGCTGATGCCCACACGTTTCGCACATTTAATTTATCTTGTATCTTTGTTTTTCTCAAGAAAAATAAATATCCTCTGAAAGTTTTATATCGTGGTGATTTTGAGATTTGGACGAAGATTAAAATAGAGCAATTTAAGAATTTGCTAAGCCTTTGTCTTTCTACAAGAGAACACGAAGGGAGTCGAGTAGTTGCAATGGGAAAGCAAGACAAGAGGTTGGGGGGGTTTTATCCTTTAGCAGGTAGCTTGTACTAGTAGTACTTGTAAGTGGCCCTATTTGGGCAATTAGATGGGTGCTACATGGCGTGCGTTCATAGAAGTTCCACTACAGGGAAAGTGTTAAGACTATGGATTTTCCTTCTTCTTCTTCTTATTTTTGTAATATCTGTTTAATGAATTTTCATTTTCATTTACCCCAGACATTAAGGAACTGCAGAAGTCAAGCAAAGGACCAAGACCAGTGAGAGCTAAGGGGAACTAACAGCACATGAGATGGAACGCTGTTTTGTTTGTTTGTTTCGGTTTTTGTTTAGTATAAGGTAAGAAAATTTCAAGATATTGAAGATAAGGTTTTGAAAAGAAATCCATGCCCGCCTTTCATTGTTGTCACCACTGTTTTCAAGAGATATTTTCTCCTGAAGGGTTCGAGAACACATGCAATTATATAGAGAACATGATTGCATTATGACTTGCTGGGGCATCAAGATTACGTGTAGATGGTTTCAGGATAGGGCGGCTTTGAGATTGAAATTTTGGAACCTACCTGTAGGTCTCAATATTGAAAAATTTGAATCTAGAATCAGACCAATTATACTCGGAACCTGCTTGGAACTTGTCAAAATAACATAATTGATATTATCTATCATGTATTTTGTAGTCAACGACTAGTAAAGTCTTGTTAGTCGAGTGGTCTTGTTTGCCATATCCAAGCTGCATGCCGTGGGTTTCATTTTCCCCAGTTGTATCTCACTTTTTTTCTACATAAAGTCTATAAAACCGGTTCAACCCTAGAACCGGCTTGCTTGATTTGTTCCCAGGTCGAACTGGCGGTTTTGACATAAGAACTGGGACTAAACTAGATCGGTCCGGTTGCCAGATTTAACTAGCTCGGTTGCTTGCTCCTACAGGGTGTTAGGTAGATGTCAAAAAGAACGAAAAATATCTATCAATATAAGAGCTCATATTTTTTGTTGCCATATTTACTGAGTTCCTCACTAAGAAGCAGAAGATGCATAAGTATGCAAGTCGCTTGTCGATTCCCAGCATGGAAGACAATCCGTATGCTATCGTCCAATCTCCTTCAAAGGAAAATTAGGCACGCATCTTCCTTCGAACAGTTGAGAGTAACTTGTCGAGAGCAAACGATGGCGTCATGAATTCGTGTATGATTGCACCTACTGTTGTATATGAATCATCTAAGGACATTCTGATCGTAGTGACTGGCCTTGACAAACCAGACAGGAAGAAAAGAGAACACCTTCAAAAGGGGGAATTTCTCCGGAGATTAACAATGGAAGCAGAGGAATTCATTCATCTTCTTGCTCTTACTAGAAAATTTGGGTTTGGTGCATAGTTAGATTTTGTTTCTTAGATTTCATACGTACTCCACATATATACTCAGGGAGCTGCAACTTTGTGAGGACCATGCGATCGCAAGATTGTCCGAGAGACTAGCTATTCTTAGTTTTTAGTTTATTTAATCAATCTCTAATCATAAACATAAGTTAGACCAGCAAAACTTTACATATACATTTATGTTACGTTTTCTGTGATCCTATTCTAATTGCTGAAATCGCAACAAAGCTTGATAGGCGATACATCTATCGAGATAGTCTCTACTCTGCATCTATACGACAATATATATATTGATACGTAACTTTATACCAATCAGCGCTATCAGCTTCTTAACTATTTTTTTTCTTTGTAGTATGATGTGAATTTCAACCTCATATGGGTGCACAAATCTCCAACTTATGAATTGTACCATTAGGCCTCCTATTATTTTTGAAACGTTCATACCGCTACTAATTTTTTTTTTTTGGGGTCAAATTCGTACCGCTACTAATTGACTTCATGCATGATGGACGTTTCTCTTGGGTGTCTCGCTTTCTGGATCTTCAAACTGAGGATGCCATTATTTACTCTTCTAGAAATGTCTCCTTTCGTTTTGGGGGGGTAAAGTCAACAATCAATCTTGTCTTTGATCTTCTGGAGGTTTTCGTTCAAAAGAAGTTTCTTTCTTCTCTCTCCTGCATGTATGGCTATCGTTCCATTAATGAAGGGGGACCAGGCACCTCTTTAATATGATTGATGATGCCTAGTCCAGCTTCAAGTTGACCCTCATCAGTTTGCTTGAAGAATGCAGGAACTCCTAAACAGGAAATTCAGCTGAAAATTATAGAGCAAAAAGGACAAAACCAAGAAGGCCGGTCCTTTACGTCTCCCAAGTCTCATTATATATATATTGGTCAGAAAGTCTCATTATATTAAGTGCACGAAATATGTTAACCTATAAAGGACGAGAAAAGAGCAAGATAGAGGCTAGCATCTCGAATAGTGTCTAGTCTCATGATTATGAGCGGCATGATCATCCTATATTGAAACTGGTTACTTGCCTTAACGAAGACATTTTCTGTTAATTGACTAGTGAGCAGCTCGTCTCCTCGTCGATTGAGCCCTCTCTGTCTCGTACGCAACCTTATCCAAATGGTAGAGAAGATTTATAGACCAAAACTGTAGTGTAGTATCTCCAAGTTCATTGACTCCTAGTTCCTAGAGACAAGAAGACAAAATGGCATCCTCACTTTTGTCCTTACGTTTCCTGTCGTTCTTAGAGGGTTCACAGACCTTGTCGCGCTGCATTATTGACGTTGTTTAAGTGAATTATGCCGGTGTATATTCCTTCACAACCCGCACGAACAGTTTCAATTATAATTAATGTTGGTTCCGAAACCTAGATCTTCGGTCGCCGTGCAAGTTTAAAGTAGTATAGTTTTTTGGAGTGAAAAATTGTAAGATATTGTGGTAGAGATTTCGAATGCCTTCGTCGTTTAGCATTGATGATTTTGTCTCGAGTCAGTTGAGATATTTGACTGCTGGTAATTCTTGGGAGGAACAACGTCGAGTC